CAGGGGCCGGCGTCATGTGGGGAGAGAGTTAACCACTGGCCCGTGTGGCATGGAGCTGATAGGATCATGGAGGGCGGGACGACACAAAGTAGAGCAGCTATGCGACCTCTCCCCGGAGCACTGGGGAGGAGGGAAGCCACATGCCCCCAGTGCCATGCAGCTCGCGGCTCCCATTGCCTCAGGCCTCGCGGGGGCAAGTTGGAGTATGGGGGAGGCTGCATGGCTTGTGGCTCCCATGGAGCATGCGGGGGAGGGGGAGCGGGGCATGCGGGATGACTTCACTCTGTTGTCCCGCAGGAAAATCCTTTTGAAAGTATAATAAGATAAGATGTCGAAATAACTGCTTGTGTGCTTGTGTTATGGGAAGGAGTAAATAACATTTCCTTATTTACTTTCTCCATACCAGCTGTGATTCAATACATCTTTATCATATCCCCGGAGCATGCGGGGGAGGGGGAGCGGGGCATGCGGGATGACTTCACTCTGTTGTCCCGCAGGAAAATCCTTTTGAAAGTATAATAAGATAAGATGTCGAAATAACTGCTTGTGTGCTTGTGTTATGGGAAGGAGTAAATAACATTTCCTTATTTACTTTCTCCATACCAGCTGTGATTCAATACATCTTTATCATATCCCCTTAATCATCTTTTCTAAACTAAAAACTCCCAGTCTTATTAATCTCTCCTCATAGAGAAGCTGTTGCAAACCCTAATCATTTTTGTTGCCCTTTTCTGTACCTTTTCCACTTCCAGTATTTCCTTTTTTACTAAGTCAGAATGACCACATTTCCATAACAGTATTCAAGTGTAGGCATTCCATGGATTTATATAAAGGTGATGAGTTATCTTCTGTCTTATTATTTATCCCTTTCCTAATGATTTCCAACATTGTTAGATTTTTGACTGCTGCTGCACGTTGAGTAGATATTGTCAGATAACTATCCACAATATACAGGTCTATGTAGCACTTTAAGACTAACAAGATGGTTTATTAGATGATGAGCTTTCGTGGGCCAGACCCACTCATCATCTAATAAACCATCATCTAATAAGCTCATCATCTAATAAACCATCTTGTTAGTCTTTAAAGTGCTACATAGACCTGTATTTTGTTTCAGCTACACCAGACTAACACGGCTACATTTCTACCATTATCCACAATATAGGGATGTTAAAAATCTGTTAATTGAATAGTAGAGTAACCTCCTGAAATTTTATCGGTTAGTCGACTATTTTATAGTCCCCTGGGGCAGGGCCAGCAGTGCTGGGTGCCAGGTGGGAGCTGGTCCACAAAGGGAGCCAGTTTAAAAAACAGATCCCCTCACAGACCGGCTGCCTGTTGCCCTGTGCTGCTGCTTCTGAGAAAGAGGCAGCAGCATGGGTCTCAGCTTCTGGACCGGTGTGAGCCAGAACTGAGCTGCCTCCCGATCTAGCTCTTAATACACTTGAAATGCAGAGCTGAAATGGGGATAGGTCCTAGACCCATGGCAAGCCAGGACTGAGCCAGGCTGCTGGCCAGCCTGTTAAAAAATTTACTAGCAGGGAGAGGGAAATGCATGTAGTCTATAGCATTAACCGATAAGCTTTTGCTTATCGGTTAATTGACTATACCAGTGGTCACCAACCTTGGAGCCTCTGACAGGTGATCTCGACTTGTTTGGCCATGAGGCTGTCAAGTGCAGCACTTCAGCTGCCCCTCCCCCCACTGCTGAGCACCTCCTGCTCTTTGCCTTCGAGCTTTTTTCTTTTCCCACCCTGTGTATTCTATCTCCAGCAAATGGAAGTGGAGGGCACAGAAGGGTTTGGGATGGACAGAATTTTCTGGCTGCTTTTGAGAATGGTGCGGGGCCAGGCAGGGGTGAGCCTGCCTTTAGCCCCATTGCAACACCACACAGGAGCCACTTGTGGTAAGCAGTTTCCAGCTGGAGCCTGCATCCTGAATCCCTCTCCCAGTCACGTACCCTCTCCTACACCCCAACCCCTGCCTCAGCTCAGAGTCCTTTTCACACTCCAAATCCATATGATCAATGCCTGCGCCCCAACTCTCTGCCCCTGCCTGATAAAAGGGAGGAATAATGGGGGAGGGAGGGAGCTGGAGCAGGGCCTTGGAGAAGGGGAATGAAGGAGGCGGGACAAAAGTATTTGGGTTTGAGGTAGATCCTGGATTGCACTTCAATTCAAAAAGTGATCTCATCTTTTAAAAGACTGGAAACCACTGGACTATACTATTACATCCCACCACCAGAGGCATGTAGTCTAGACGTACCCTTAGAATGAGAAGGGTAGCCCTGTTCATCTGAATCTGCATAAACAATCAGAAATCCTCTGGCACCTTATAAACTAACAGATTTATTAGAGCACAAGCATTCATGGGCAAAAGTGGGTCTTTTAGCCACGAAAACTTGTACTCTAATAAATCTGTTAGTCTAAAAGGTGCCACAGGCCTTCTCCTTATTAGCCCATTTTCTGTAAGCATGGCTTTGGGACCTCCCTCTGCAGTCTATCAGTTTGGTTTGGGTAATTGCAATATTGTTAAAATTAAATGAGTACACTGGCAAGAAATTGTTTTATTTCACTAACTACAAATTTTCTGTTTTCATTTAAAAAAAATTTTAAACAGTCAAAAAATTGCAAAGTGCAAACGTGGAAAAGCCAAGAAAAAAGAGGGGTCGGCCAAACAGTTTTTTGCTTGGGGTGGAAAAAAACAAAGAGCCGGCCCTGACCGCCAAGGCTCTCCCCTGCGAGCGAGCTCCCAGTACTAGTCCCCCCTCCTAGCCCCACGCAAAATGGCGCTTCCTTCCCGCCCGCAGTCCAGAGGCGCGTTTTTATCTCCCCTCCCACAGACACTGCGTAAGTAACTAGCGCGCGCAGCTAATTCCTACAGCTACCAGCCCCTGACACTACACCGGCCAATCACGGCCCGTCTTAGTTACCATTGGCCAATAGGCACGGCGATGCCACCATAGGGGCGTTCCCACCTGCAAACCTTCTCATTGGCTCGCGCCCAATCACTGGTTCGTGAGTTGAACCAGTCGCTGAGCTCCTTCCTGGCGCATGCGTATTGTAATTTATCAGTTCTAAACCCGCAGGCGGTTGGCTTCGCGCGTTTCCCTTAGTCACTGGCGGGCGATTCGAGCTATAGCGGATGTGACGACATAGGCCCCGGCCCAGTGGCCGGAAGAAGCCGTTTGAAACGATGGAGGAACCTTCTCATTGGCTCGCGCCCAATCATAGCCATGAATTGATCCAGCGACTCACCTCCCAAGCGCATGCGTATTGTAAGTTATCTGTCCTAAACCCGCGAGAGGTGACTTCGCGCGTTTTCCTTAGCCACTGGCTAGCGATTGGAGCTACAGCGGATGTGACGACATGGACCCGGACCCAGTGACCGGAAGGAGCCCTTTGAAACGACGGAGGCTGGTGCGCGGCGGGCAGGTGAGGTTGGTAGCAGGGTTGCGGCGGGGCCTCTGCAGTGGCTGCGGGGCAGGGAGCTCCTCGCAGATTCGCCCAGCCGTGCCCGGCTCCCTGGTGCTGTTGCGGCGGCAGGCGGGCGTGGGACGTCCCGTTTGGCTTGGCGCGGTGCCGCCGCCCTGGATCCCCTCTCCCCTTGAAAGCTTTATGCGTGTGCCCGGGGCTGGGGGCGGCTGTGCCGGGCGCCCGGCGCCCCCTGTCGAGGGGCTGCTCTGTGTGAAGCCCGCTTGACGGGAAGGCAAGGCGCTAACCCCTCCAC